ATGCATTTATATGGTTTTTCGCCTGTGTGGATCCTTTGATGAACAGTAAGAGACCTGTTTTCACGGAAGCTCTTTCCACACTCAATGCATTTATATGGTTTTTCGCCTGTGTGGATCCTTTGATGAACAGTAAGAGACCTGTTTTCACGGAAGCTCTTTCCACACTCCATGCATTTGTATCGCTTGTCTTCTGTGTGGATCCGTTGGTGAACAGTAAGATAGCTTTTCTCATAGAAGCTCTTTCCACACTCCATGCATTTGTATGGCTTCTCTCCTGTGTGGATTCTTTGATGAATAATAAGAGAACTATTAATACTGAAGCTCTTTCCACATTCCATGCATTTATATGGCTTGTCTCCTGCGTGGGTCCTTTTATGAACAGTAAGAAACTTATTTTCACGGAAGCTCTTTCCACACTCCATGCACTTATATGGATTCTCTTCTGTGTGGATCCTTCTATGACATGTGAGGGAACATCTCTTACTGAAACTTTTCCCACACTCTGTGCACTTATATGGCTTCTCTCCTGTGTGCATCCATTTATGGGAACTTAGGTTACTGTGTTGGCTGAAGCCTTTCCCACACTCCATGCATTTATATGGCTTCTCTCCTGTGTGCATCCATTTATGGGAACTTAGGTTACTGTGTTGGCTGAAGCCTTTCCCACACTCCATGCATTTATATGGCTTCTCTCCTGTGTGCATCCATTTATGGGAACTTAGGTTACTGTGTTGGCTGAAGCCTTTCCCACACTCCATGCATTTATATGGCTTCTCTCCTGTGTGGATCCTGTGATGAACAGTAAGATACCTGTTTTCACGGAAGGTCTTTCCACATTCCATGCATTTATATGGCTTCTCTCCTGTGACGATCCTTTTATGAGATGTAAGGGACCCATTTTCATGGGAAAGAGTGAAAATGCTATTGTAATTATTTCCATTGTCTCTGGATATACAATCTTCTTTTGTTTGGATTGGATAGTGTTCATTTATTTCTATTTTGTCTTTGAATAGGCCTACACTTTTCATAATATATTTTTTCTTTATTTTTCCTTGTGGGGCAAGAAAGTCTTGAATCTCAGTATCAGTG